TGCGTTCCTGAGATGGACAAGAGGGTTGACGGTAAATGACTTGATCGTCCAGAAGAAATACTATGCTGGACATTGGTGCGCATCTGTCTCCTCGCAGTTCTGCTTCTTCTTGCACTGTTCAAAACCTCTTGATTTCGAGGCGGGGACCCATTGTTCCGCTGCCAAAATTTGCGAGAAACCAAGGGACGTAGTGAAGGAGCATTGGTGGCTACGAGACCAACGCCGAGTTCTCGGGTGCCCCAAAGGTTTACGACAATGGTCGAGCGCTCCCCATTCAACGTAACAACGACCCGCATTATCGCGGCGGCTATAAAGTAAATACCGGAGCATACGAGTACCATGATTAAGATTTTCTTGTAAACAGACACTCGCATCTTCCCAAGAGTGGGAATAGGCAGGCTTAGAATTGCTACGTCGGTGATGACATCTAATTTGAACCTGTTAACTCTATACTATAACTGAGGTACACTTTACTTACTGAAGAAGGTAGTAACAAGTAAGTTTTGAGTCTTGTGAAGGCACCTATCGTTTGATAGAGGTCGCACGCCCCAATTGTTTTGGTATCTTGCAGGTGCGGTAAGTAATTCTACTGCATTGAACCTGAGTTGCGGGATCTATAACACCAAATCACTTACGGAAGGCAGCTGAAAGTAACTGTGCCTATCACAGAAACGTAGGATAGAGCTGTGAACCAGACTAAGTACTTGAAGATTCTGAAATCGCGCCACAAGTCGAGGGTTAATCGTTTACTAATATAAGAGTAAATATATTCAGAACTAAAGCTAAACCCTTAGTATGGCCACTTACTAAAAAAGCAGTACACCGCATTTCATAGACCATAACATCGTTGGATATAAGTACCAAGCCACTTGTTGAAATTTGGAGCCACGAATGACACGTACGATTTCATCATCCGACAAGGCTTGAATCTGAGCTGGCTCGAGATCTAGATTGGTGCCGCATTGATCTATGAAATGTCATTTAGCGTTGCTTGGAGTGTCAACCTTCTGCATGCGCCCTTCAACCACGGTGGGTTCGCACCCATCCTGATGTAATTGAGAGATGTACACTCACATATAATGTCAAGTACTACAAAAGAGGAGACCCACAGAATACAGGTCTGCACAGAATCTCAAGTCAGAAAAGGTTGCGCTCGTTATCTCCGATTCGTCTTACCACCATCATAGCATAGTCGTCACCCTTGAGGCTGAATCCATATGTTTTGTTTCTCACAGCAAAGCGCACGAGCACGACAACGACTCCGAGGATGACCCAAAGCCGTATCTCTCTCTCGTAACTGGGGTCTCGTTTCAGCATACTTTCTAAACGGGCGGTAGCCATATGCGCAGGTTTTCTGTTAGGTAGATTCCGCCGACTTTCTGTGTCAGTCATAAGGACTTGTGGTTGTTGACTCTTTGAACGGGCGTGGATATATTCGAGAAGGAATAACGATCAGTATAAGTAATCAATAGTTGCAAGTCTCAAGTTTTATACACGACCGGTTTGCATCTTTTAGTTGGGATACACAAGCAGCCATTTCACAGCTGTTTCTTGTATGTATCATTTAGTTGTATTTATCTAAGGCAGGCTTCGGTCGACGATGGATAGCTCACTTTTTCAACTAATATGTTCAATTACTTATCAGGTACCGTGCAATTCAAACCCAAAAGGCGCGGCAGTTCCGTTTTAGCTCAAGTGTTAATGTACCTTACGGCAGACTATTGGCTCGGCAGTTGAAAGACATGTGTCCCGGATCACATTTACGTAATGTCTCAGCGTGTAATACTGACTCAATAAAGTTTATGAGACATAACTTCTTATGGAACGCTAAAGTATATCCTTATACTACTAGGTACTGTGTAGTGTATGGTAAAACAAGCTACGTAGCTACAGTTAACGTTGAATTGGGTACGACGTTTTGATTGTTACGTACACGTATAAGCGCCGAAGTTGTGTTTCATTGACCATTTAGTGGACACACGGTGTGTTGTAAAGTCCTGCATCATAATGAGCTTTCGGGCCGTTATCATCTAGAGTTAGAGAGGGCCTGGTGAGTTTGTTCATTAACCAAACACTTGGAATAGATCGGGAACTTTATATAGCGTTAATTGATAAAATCTATAATAACATGTCAACTTTATTTAACCGTTTGCAAGAAGCTATTTGCCGTCTTCCGGCTGTCATCAATGTACTTTGCAGGCATGTGAGGGAACAGGAGAACGGGGTTATAATGTAGCCCTGAACAGGGGGTCACTTTATCATCTTCTAGGTGTTACTTATCACTGTTATGACATTTCAGTCGGCTGGTTATCTGCATATACAGCTGCAAGGAACAAATCTCTGCGCTATACACTCGTTCTCGCTCTGCTGCTACAACTCCTTTTGCTCCAACTCGGAGCAGTCTTGTTCTGTATCCCTGCGATACCCCCGGAGCCAGATAGCTTTTCAATAGTCATTTAACGCCTAACCTGGATTTACTTAGGATATGTCCCTGCGATTACTTGCAAGTAAGTCCGCTTATTTCGGCTCGCAATACGTCACATAGCTAACGACTGATGGGAAAGACAAAAGAGTTGGGAATACAATTTCTTTATCAGGTGATATTAGGTTAACCGACACTTTAATTTAGCGGCGTTGTATTGCTCACAAAAGCTAAACGGGTGCCACGGCATGGGTCATAGATACATGCCCACACAATGAGCCGCCACTGCCGGCGACTTTCATGACTCATATTACAGCTTTACAGCTGATTCAATCAGCCGGTTTTGCCATGAGCATAAATGCTGTCTCACCTTTAATTGCTATTGACCTGAACTCTCTTACTATGCCAGGTGCAGCGAAGTTGAATTTGGCGTTTCATAATGAGGGGAGGTCGTTAGCAGCGCACCGTCGCTGCTAAGTTGGCGAACACTTCCTGTCAGTATTGTGGACAGATATAAGCCGTGAGGTAGTACCAAGGTATACCCTGCCGGGTCTTTGAATGTTAATGTGTATAGAGTATTATACAAACCCAGTTTCGCACCCACATCGACCACCACACAACTATCCTGTTAAACTATCCTGTCATAGCATCTAGTAAAGTTTAGACTTTCCTTGAGATAGGTATAGGCCCAAACGGGCCACGTAAGACACTGGCATTTAAATCTCCGGCAGGGTATACCGACGGATACAGCAGCTGAAGGACACATGCCTGACAAGGTAAGCTTCCGTAGACTGTGCGCGATCCAGAATCCTGGGAAGCCAACACCCCATCGCGACAATCATCACGCAATGGCCAGGGTACGCATGTTCCGATGAAGCTGACGAACTTAACGAGCCCGCTGATTTGGTTTCGGTAGTCAACTAAGAACTTTCATCACCTTGGCTCCGAACCCCCTGCTCTGCTTCCTGCAGACCGCCCGTCGGTATCTTGACCAAGCGCTAAGCCCTGCCGTCGCCGCGATGCCGCCATGACACCTCTCTTTCGGACACGACCCATAGAATCAGGGGGCGCTGGTCGGTACGTGTAACGTTCAGGATGTGCAACTCCAAGTCGACTTCGCCGTTATTCCGAACTTCTCGCTAAGAGCACCGCCGGGCCTATGTTGCTAGATGTCAAGTTCAAAGACCGGCGGCAAAAAGCTCTCTGCTGGAACAGCAATCTGCGACAACCCAGTGCTGCGTCGGCCAACCCACCTACACCCTTCCAACCACGATTGCATCCCCCTTCCCGACGGCTATCGCCTCCTTCTCCCGCTAAGCAAACCGCTTGTTGGCCTTTGGGCAACTCGTAACCCCCACCGAGATGCAAATGCCCGCGCACCTCATCTGTTTCCACAATCTCGTGTCCACTCCTTGACAAACTCGAGGCCGAGACCTCGGCGATGAGCGCGACTACAGGGTCTGCGTGGGCGACACGTATAGCACGCCGCCGCCCCCAGGTCAATGGCCCAAGCTGATGCTCGAAGAGGCTGCTCACTTTTAAGTCAAAGCGCCCACATATAAAACACCCCTACATCTAAAATACTTTTCCTAGTAAAAACAGCAAAAACTAGCTATCAAGATCTACACTAATAATAAATAAAAAAGTCTAAAACTTAAATATAAGGTACATTATAAAAATAAGAAGCTATAAGGGATGTTTTAAGTATTTTAAATTAGTAGATTCTTAGTAATAGGGCTAGATACTTAACTGTTAAGGTTTACTAAGATTTTACTAGTATATCTTAACTTTTTAAGAATATAAACAACTTTATTCTTTATAAACTAAATTTAGTATACTAAAGAGTTAAGTAATATATATATACAGTAAGCTATATATTATAGTAAGCTATATATATTTACCTTAAATACTTATCTTTTTTTCTAAATAAGTTATCTTTATATATAACAATAAATGCTTTTTAATACAAGAGCTATTCTATTCTTACTATTATAGCTATTAAATAAGACCTAAAAGTATCTATATAAGAAGTATCTTTAACCTACCTAGTGTCTAAATTAACTCTTTATAGCTAATATACTAAGGTAATTATATAATATAAGATATATTTAAAATTAATAAAGATAACTATCTTAGAAGAAGAGGTAGTTTATAAAAAGATTATTAACTTAATTAATAAAGAGTTTCTATTATAACTTTTCAAAATATAAAATAAAGTTAATTACTTCTTAAATATATATAGTATAATATATACTAGACTATAATAGGCTAAGAACTTTATATAATACTTTTTAGAGTCAAAAGGGGTAAATAAGGTTAAAGATAAGACAGATAAGAGATAAGAGATAAGATATAGAAGTGTTATATTATTATAGATATAGAAGAGCTTATAGATTTAACTAGCTAACTAGACCTAGGGATATAAAGGGATTACTTATACTTATTCCTTAAGTATTCTAAGGATTTCTCTAGTATTCTTAGCTATTAAGTAGGTTATTAGGTAGGTTATTAGATAGGTTATTAAGTAGGTTATTAATTAGGTTAATAAGTAGGTTACTAAATAATAGGTTATTATTTTACCTGTTTACCTTATATAATCTAGAACTATATTCTTAGAATCTTAGTTCTAAGAGATCTTCTTAGAGGAATAGGTCTTACTTAAAAGATCTATTTGTTATATATAAATATCATTATTATATAGTATATACAGCTGTTTTCTAAGTAGTTATTCTTATATCTAGTGTATATAGTGTATATAGTATTAATAATACTATAATATACACTTTACTTCTTTATTATATATTTTTTTTTCATATAAATAAGGCCTTTAAACCTTAATATCTCATAATATTAACTAGACCTTAATATATAATTCTAAAATTAGATTTATTATTAGTAAGTATTAACTATTAATAAAAGATCTTATAATTATATAAGGCTAGCTTATATTTATATAGAATATAATTCTAAAGTCTAAGATATAGAATTATAATATTTATAATTTAAATAAGACTAGATTTTAATAAAAATACTATTATATATAAGGCTATTATAAACTTTAATTATAAAGAAAGGCCTTATATTAGGTAGCCTAGTAATTATAAATAAGTTCTTATTATTTAAGGTATTTATATAGATAGCTAAGTAATACTTTTATATATTATTATAAAAAGTAAATACGACTTTCTCTTTTAGTATACTAATAGTAAATACTAACTTAGCTAGTAGCCTAGTATATTTACTCTAGTAGGAATAAATAAAGAGTAAATAAAATTAGCTTAGACTAGCTTAACTATTTTAACTAGTATATAAAGTCTTATATAAAAAATACTTATTATGTTTTAGTTTTAGATACCTATAAAAGCTAGAAAATACCTAAATCTAATAACTACTATAAAAAAGAAAAAATATTACTTTATATATACTTCTTTACTTATTATATAAGCTTTAATCTTTTAATATTAGTTATTTTAGTTTATTAAAATACTTATATGATAAAAAACTAAGAATATAATATAAATATAGATTATATATATTACTAAAGATAACTTTTTGTTTACTTTTAAAGTAGTATCTATTACTTTAATAAGTAAAATAAATATATACGCTAGGTCTTAATAGGCTAGACTTCTACTTTATAATCCTAAAGTTATTATTTTTTTATCTAGAATTTAAGATAAAGATTTTAACACTAGAGAACTTATATTTAACTAGCCTATACTTTTAAGACCTAAGGAAACTAATAATTATTAATATTAATTAATAATATATAAAGCTTTACTTTATTTAAAAATATATAAGAAATATAAGGATAGTTTACTAGTACTATTGTATAAAGTATTTAACTTATAAGTAAAAGATTATAATAAATTATTATACTAACTAGCTTTTATTA